AGAAGAGCATCGAGAAAGAAGATCAAAGCATGTTGGGGGAGAAATGGACAAGTCAGAAGAAAGGGGCGCAAAATTTCTTCGTGTACCTCCTCTACCAATGGCATGGATGAAGGCAATGAAGTTGGCAATAAGGCACCCGCGACACCAAGTGAAGGTTCCCTCAACTTCAAGCAGACCAGAGGAGATGGTGGATGATAGCCGAACAAATGAACCAAAGGCCAAAGTTCCAAGAGTTGAAAGTCCTGAAGGCAGTCCTACCCACTTGTATGCACCGCACTATGCTGGCAATGTGAACAAAGTGACTGAAGACAGTCATCCAGTCAATGAAGAACAATGGGAGACTGAGATTGAGGAGTACGTGAACGATGAACCCGAGATGGACTGGACTATGGTGCGGCTTGAAGCAGTAGATGAAGGACAGCCTCCGCAAGTTGATCCAGAGACAATGAAAGAGATTGAAGCCGCTGCAGGACAAGAAGAGATAAGCAGACTCCTGGAGATGGGAGTGATTCGAGAGCCAACAACCTTGAAACTTGAGCAAGGTGAGATTTTGACAACTCGATCTGTCTACGACTGGCGAGTTCGAGGTGGACAGTGGAAAAGAAGGTGCAGATTTGTTGCAAGAGAATTCAAAGGAAATGACATCTCAACAGCAAAGACATTTGCACCAACATCCTCTTTGGCGGCAACTCGACTAGTGCTCGGAACTCATGTGATCTTGAAGTGGCATTTGTGCTTCCTCGACATAAAAGATGCCTTCCTCTTGGTGGATCAAACAAGATTGGTGTTGGTGGAGCAGCGATAGTGGTGGAAACCAGAAGAAAAAACAACAAGACTTCCTGGCCAACGCAAATGCTTGCCTGGACAAAGGGATGCAGCAGCTCGATGGCTTGATTTCCTCAGCGACCATCTTCGGGACCTTGGCTTTCAGAGCCACACGAGCTTACCTTCCCTGTTCAGACATGAGAGCAAGCAGCTGGGGGCAGTATGCCATGTTGATGACCTGATTGTAGCAGGACAGTTGGCAGACTTGGAATGGTTGCTTGAGGCAATGAAGAAGAGATTTGCGCTCAGTGAATCTGGAATCCTTCCATGGGAAGATCAACCTCCAGAAGAAGCAGTCCGATGTTTGAAGAAAAGACATTTCTTTACAAAGGACGGACTGGTGGTGATGCCTCATGAACGATATGTTCCAGGACTTCTTGAGCTCTACAACCTCACCCACAGATCCTGCAGACAGATTGGAGACAGGTGAGCAGCATCGGTTTCGATCAGCTTTAGGCACGTTGCTCTACATTTCCCAAGACCGGATTGACACCCAACACTGTGTGCGGAATCTGTCCCAGTTCATGGCACTTCCAACGAAGAAAGCAGAGATTGAGCTAAGGCATGTTATTTCCTATTTGAAGAGGACAGAGAACTATGGCTTGCTACTGCCCTACACCAAGTACAAGAGCAAGAAGGCAGAGATTCTAGGCCAGCAGGATGATGAAAGTGACCATGACCTGCTGCAGAGCTTCACGGACAGTGATTGGGCTGGAGATAGTCCAGCACAAGAAAAGACGGCGTTCAGTGAGCTCAGCAATGCTGTTTTTGAATGGTTGCTTGGTGAGCGCATGGTCGAGATCGCAGAAAGCAATCTCCTTGAGTTCCTGTGAGGCAGAGTTCTTAGCAGCAGCTGGTGGTGCAGCTGAGTCAATTCAGATCAAAGACCTCTGGGAATTTCTGAGCAAGAGGATTGTGAAGATCCGCTCAATCACCGACAGCACTTCATGCAGGGCATTCGCAGAGAGATTGGGAGTTGGAAGACTCAAACACATAGATACTCGATATCTGTGGATGCAGCTAGAAGTCAAGAAAGAGGTGCTGACCATGGATGGCATCCCAACGCTCTGGAACGTGTCAGATTTGGGCACCAAAAGACTGACCAGGCAGCGCAGAGAGTTTCTCATGCACTTGATTGGAGTGGTTGAACTCCAAGGAGAAGGACAAGATGATTTCTTCTCTCCGGTGGGAGAGAGTGCATTCAACGAAATAGTCTCCAAGAAGGTGATGGCGCAAAGGATGAAGGTGGTGAAGAAGGAGATGGTCAGAAGCTTGGTGGCCGATGAACATGACTACAAGATCAAGATCCCAACTAACATGGTTCGTGCAGTGACATTGCTACTGCTACAACCTGGTGTTCTTGGATTGCATGATGGAAACTACACCCAGAGCCGAGAGAAAGAGCTTGGATTCGGAGATTACCTATGGTCTTTCCAATGGTTCTTTTTGTGCACGATGGCTGTGTTCATTTGTGGCATGATTGTGGGCTACAAGTACTGCATTCGGTTGAGCATTCTTGTGAGAACAGCTTTGCGCTTCTTTCGGCAGGAGATCACGATGGAGCTTCAAAGACAGCAAGATGAAAGAATGTTCAGAGAAGGAATTCTGCGAGAAACCCGAGAACAAGAAGTACGAGATCGCAGAAGCGGACGTGACATGCTCCTGCGTGCTCAGATGTGGTCCATGAACAATGGAGAATGGACATATGAAGGCAGGACAATTTTTCCTGAACCACTTCAACAGCCTGATCGATCGACAGCTAGAACCAGAGTTCCGAAACGACACCAGGACAAGCTCAGAGGAGCGTGATGCCAACTATGAGTGGATTGGCGAATGGACAACAGATTGGGACCCAGTCTTGCAGAGAATGAGAGAGTACAGGGTGCTGACAAACTCTGAAGAAGCAGAAAGTGGAGAAGAGTACTTCACTGGCAATGAAACCACGGGACTCTACAGGAGATACCGCCCGACGAGATCAGAACGTGGAGCCCGGAGTGAAGCCGGTGAGAGGAACAACAATGAGAACCCTGATGCCCAAGCCATGGAAGTTGATGAGATCCCTTCAGTGACCCAAGAAGATGGAAGATGGGTCGAATACGACCGAAACAATCCGCCAGCTGATGCCAATTGGGACGACATGGACCCAATCCTGAAGTACCTGCCGGCTGACGAAGACCGCGCAACAAGAAAAGTGAGAGAGGCAGGAATTTTCACACCTGGCCTGCTGAAAGAATTTCTGCAGTGCCGGATTTCAACTTTGCATGGACAAAAGGATCCAAGAGCAGCTTTTGATCATGTGCTGCGCTGGAACGACAGCGAGAAGCGTGATTTTGCCAATTTCTCCGTGATGGTCCTTTCGGGCCAGTGGGAGATCAACTGGGACGAAAGCGTCCGAAAGTACTTTGAAGAAGGTGTGGCGTAAAAGCAGCCACTAGGACGCGTCAGCTTTTAGGTGGGGTGTTAGCAATTCAATGAAGTCACGACACCTCACATGAAGTACAGGTTGAACGACAATCGAACCGGTCACATAGTGGCCCAAGCATGTTGGTGGAAAAGGTCCACTGCGCGCGTTCCGCGAACACATCCGGTTCTTCGTGCCGTGATGTTGCTCGCCTCTCTTGACGGTCACACGTTACTTGGTGAAACTGTCGCAAGTATGTGGTGCATTACCGATCCTGAGATGGCGGCTCACAGGGAGTCCATGCCATAGTGCCATGCTTTTCTCGCATTCTTACAACATATGCTGAACCTAGTGGCCCTCGCCCAAAGACGTGCGCCTCCCTTCAATACACACAGGAACATACCAATGCAGTAAAAAAATCCGAAACTTTCATCGAATATGTCATCGAATAGCTCCTTACTTGATTGACGACTGTTGGGTCCCGAAAATCTTACACCCTACTGATTGTTACTTGTGGGTTTGGATCGGATCACAGTTGCCTCAGCTTTCGGCAGGAACGATGGCTTAGATCTGACCTCAGCCGTTGTAACCGAAGTGGGTATGGCCACAACATCGCGCTGGTTCGTTGTGTGCCCTTGCCCGACTTCCAACCGCACCAAATCCACGCACGAGAGAAACGACAGAAAGGGAAGGTCAACAAGGGATATTTTCTCTCATGAGCACTGCTCCAGAAGTCTTCAAATCATTGTCAGAGCACGCCCAAGAGCAATTACAGCACTTGCAGCACGCAATTCTCTTGAGCCTGGCGTCTGCTTCATTAAAGGAGAAGCCGACCTTTCCCCTGAATTGGTGTTGGAGTCCTTCCATGAGGGTTGCGAATTCTCCCACCACGAATTTTTTTGGCTCAAAAATACTATTTTGGTCGCAAAGTGTGAAAGATAGTGCGTAGCCAGTATGGATCACCTCGTGCCTGTTTCTTGGGTCGTTTTTCGTTTTTGACGACTTGGGGTTGGAGCTGACTTTGGTTCGTGGTCCTTTGTGGTCCTTTGTTGACTGACTTGGCAGTATAACCTTTGAAAAGATTTGATGTGGCTAGACATGGCTAGAGAAGCCTAGAGAAACTTTTGGTGGAGGCAGTGTGTAGTTGGAGACTACAGGCGTCGTGTCCCGTGCCGGACCCGTTGGCTCCGGCATGGCTTCACAGCAACCCTAAAGTCTCGTGTGCGATGACACCTCGAACGCATGCTCCTCCTCCAAAGGATCAACGAGCTCCGCGACATGTGAAAACACACGGACGGCATCTCCCCAAATGATTAAAAGCAGATGCAAAGATCCAACAACGAGGTGCCCATCAGATATCTTTCCAACGAGTTTGCCAAGATGTTTTGCAAACACATATTGAATTCATGGCCGAGTTTCATCGGACAATTTCTCTGCTAATCGAGATTGGCAAAGTGTTTGGTTTGCACATTGTCCGGGGGTTACCGCATGTGATTCCGTGCTAAAAACTTTGTTACGTAGCAACAACCTGGGTTCCATCATGCGTGCTGCCGTTCGTCCGTGCTCGACCGATTGGTTGCGTATTTAACGCCTTTAATGTTGCCTGTTTGATGTGAAACAAAAGGTATCGCAGACCCAGAAATTCTCAACGTGTGCAGCTAAGCTGGACAATTTCTTGTCATCTGAATTTGTGTTCCGATTTGTTTTTGTCAATTGGGGCATTGCTATAGGTTGCTCAGCGTTTTGTTTTCACGATGAAACGACTGCGCGATGGTGGCTCAAAAGCATGGACCATGATTGCTTGCGATGATGAACGGAGAGGGGTCTCTTGACGATGAGGAGGGTGTAACTGTTCAGAAACTTTAGACAGAGGCCATCGCTAGTAGGGTGGAGGTGATTGCTTCTAGGCTTGCTGTTTGGAAGGAGAAGGGTCACAGCATCGAGGAACTTCTGCGAGCATTGGAAAATCATCGCCAGCAGCTTGTGATTCGACATGGTTGATAGATGGACACACCGATTTTGTGATGCTCAGGGGTTGAGTGCGAACAAACTGGAAGGCACGGAAGAATCCATTTTTAATGTGTGGTGAAGTGTGCAATTACTTTTGGAACTCCCAATAAATATAACTATAACTATATATATACACACATGTTTTGTTTGAGACACCTCGCAGACTACCTTTCGACCCGACCTGCTTGATTTACAAACAGGAAGTCTTGATCAGTTTGTTCACACGGTCTCAGTTGCTCCAGGTATGAAGAGGCTGAGTTGGCCCGTCTTCGCTTGGATCAACTTCGACAGCACGAGGTGGCGCTAAGAACGCTTTGAGAAGCGCCCCAATTTTTCCATTTGGTTTCACCTTGTTTTCATTTGTGTTCCTTTCTTCGCTTGTCATGTCTTAGGAGAAAAGTCGTCGAGATGCCCTTTTGGAACAGCAGTTGTGGGCTCAGAACGTGCAACAATAAGAGCACTCTTTCGACTTTTGCTGCCAAATATTTGCACGTCCGTGGGTTTGACACTTCAAATCTTTCCATTTTCACGTTTGTTGGATTGTTTTTATTTAGCCCGCTCCTACTTGATTAGGTAAGGGAGTAAGCTCAGGTTCGCTCCTAGTTGGCTTCTAGTAACTGGACGCAGGATAGCTCACGCTTCCTTAAACAAGCGCTCGCACTAATGATTTGGTTCCTAGATCTTTACGGAAACTTAACTTGGTGTTTTTGTGTCTTCAGGTTTTGTTTCTTGCTTGGTCTCAGGCTTGCTGAGCGCATGGGTGTTGAAGAAGCGCACATGCTAGGCTTACAGGAGATTCGAAGTTTTCGAGTGAATTAGTCTCGGTGCTCACGAAACCCTGAGACTGAGAGTCCCAGGAATTCAACAACATTTGGGACCAAAAGCAGCAAGACTTTGAAGCCAAGGCGCATGGAGCGCACAGAACAAGACTGTCAAGCAAGACTAGAAAGTCTGTTGCACACTTTATTTACATAGTTTATGTATGTGTATCTCTATGTTCTTCTACATGGTTGTGAGGCCAATCAACTGCAGACTGTCCTGGCCACACGGCACAAACAGGAACATCAGGCCTGTCGCCCCCTGTCGCCTAGCCCCCCAGAGCTTCACATGCGCTGTGCTGCCAGACGCATTTGGAGAAATTACGGCGAGAGGTCGAACCGAGGAGCAGATGCAGCGCAACATGATTTCAATCAGAAGTTGGCTTGTTACTATTAGCGAACATTGTTTCAATTAGCTTCTTGTTACTAGTAAGGCACTTGCTACTAGTAGCGATGCACTTGTTCCTAGTAGCAACATGATTTTTTTTATTCTTATTATTCTTCATTTCTACGATTTGCTGTTCCCTCTCTGCCTTGCTCGATTGCTGTTTTGGTTGGGGTGTGCACTGGGGCGGGCTTGGATACATGAGTCGTTTCGCGGATATAGGTCCAGCAGCGTCAATCAGCACTCTCTCGGGCTGAGGGGGCGTGATATGCGTGGCGGTGGGAGCGATGCATTTTCGAAGATGATATGGTTTGGTAACACAGAAGCCATGCAGATGCATAGAGAGCATGCCACCTCTGTGGCAACAAAGACCAAAGCGTGTTGCGAGTCACTGGGCCAAATCCCAGCGTCGCCATCTCGGACATCGCCTTGCTTTTTCATGCTTGTTTTGCCATTGTTACTTCCTTCCTTCCGTCCGTCCGTCCGTCCGTCCGTCCGTCTGTCCTTCCGCTGCTCCCGTCCGTCCGCTTCTTCCGTCCTTGCTTCCTTGATTTTTGCTTGCTGGGGGGCTGGCTGGCTGGCAGAAGTGCCCATCTTGTGTGTTGCATGTCAAACGACACAGCCCAGATGAGAAGAGACAGGTTTGTGTCAAAATACTTCGGGTGGTAGGGCCAAGGGGATTCTACCAGTCACCGGGAATCTTTGAACCCTTGCGGCGCGGCCTCCGGCCATGTTTCGGGGCTTACATGTGTAGACTTTCATCCTTGACTTTTGCCCCCAAGCGAGTTTTCCAGAAAGGACAGAAAGGCAAGCGCAAGCGAGCCAAGCAGCCATCTTGAAGACCGGCGCCGTCATTGAGAGAAGGTACAGCTCAGAGCAAAAGATGTTCTGTGGAGATGAGTTTTTGGATGAAGGTGCTCATGCTAGAGGAGAGCCAGTTGAAGAGTTCTTTTGCCGCCCCTAGCACAATTGGATGCATTGGCTAGCAAGTCCTAGAACGTTTGAGCCGAGATGATGCAGATGTCTTCACCATACTATTCGTCCATGACTGGCATATCATTATGCATTTGCGCAAGCTCCAAAGGCGACGAGGTCGAGGTTGGTGGCGCAAGAGTATGCCCTAGACAGAAGAAATGCTTAGATGCTTTTGATTGCCCAGCAAGTGGATAAGGTTGATGAGCGTGGGCCCCAAGTTTGAGCGTGAATGGGATGGCCACCGTTGGAGCTTTGGACAGATCGAAGCGGCTTTCCTCCAGGCACCACGCAAAGGCCATTTCCCGACTGGGAAACTTTGATCTCAAGGGTGCAGGATTGCGAATTTGGTGAGCGCTGGATTGATGATGGATCACGCATGGCGTGGGAATGGTGTATTACGGGTGGTGAAGGAGTTGGCTTGCAAGATGTCCAGTGTTCCAAAGGTTGGAAGGAAGGAAGGGGAAGGGAAAGGAAGGGAAGGGAAGGGAAGGGAAGGGAAGAAAAGGAAGAAAGGTGGAGCATTGGTGTCATTGAAGAAGGTCGAATTTTGAGCGGGGTCCCTTCCACATTGCCGTTGCCAAATGCTTGTGTCTGGATGGAAGAGGCCAGGGGTGATGTCTGGGGATGTGGTTCAAGCCACATGTAGTGTCCAGGTTCACCTTCTCGATGTCAGAGTCCAAGTCATAGCCCTTGTAGTTCTTCTCGCGACGTTCAAGCCGATCTCATTCTCCATGTGCCTCAGGCGTCTCTTCTCCAAAGAATCTCTTCCAAGTTGAGAAGCTGTCTCTAACTCTGGGCCTCTTGTGCGCCGCGGCTCTGAAGTCGAGCTCCGAGCATCGTCTAGCTCGTCTAAGGGCCTGGCAGAGTTTGGGCCATGGTTCGGCCTGTTGGGAAAGCACTTTGTAGCATGTCGCCGTGTTCGTAGCTGAACTATGGAGCGAAAAAGGAGGGCTGATCATGAAGGGCGAGGTCCGACATCATGAATCTCTAAAATAAGCTGGTTGTAGATAGCTTCCATGTTGACCACAACTTCTGGGAATGATAGAAGCATGCTGTGCAGTAGAGGTTTGATGTAAACTGCGACAGTGATGCTCCGCTTGTTCAAGCCGATGCCAAGGGCTTGTGGGCCCTTGAAATGAACGGTTTCTGGGCCTTTATTTGATCATCCCCATCTAAGTTTCCTTGGTCCGTGATTTGGGCGTCAAGCATGTCGGGCAAGGCGGTGAAGTTCTCTTCAATGGTGTGCGCCTCAGAGGTGGACTTAGTCTTCTCCTCCTCCTCCTCCTTCTGATTCTTCTTCTTCTTCTTCTTGCCGAGGTTGGTGAGGTCAAGGTCCATGGATGAAACGCATAGGCGACCTGCAAGTACGGTGTACTTCACACACAGCTTCCTCTGCTCGCTGCTGAGCAACCACTACGGAGTGCTACGCCCTTTTCCTTGACCTTCCTCTCCGCATCCATGGCGGACTCAGTTGGAATGGCGAAGGTGCCACATAAAGTCGCTGCAGGCTGCCAGCATAGGTTTCCTTTCTTCTTCACTTCACCGAAGTACTCCTTGCCGAACCAAGTTCCGGAGAGCAAGGTCCGGAGCATGTTCCGGAGCAAGTCCCCGAGGCTAGAACTTTTGGAGCAGGTTCTGATATTGCTGCCCCGATATGCTGACATCATTCGTGTTGTCACGCTGATATGCTTGTGTGGTGTCCCTTGACATGCTGTCATGTTCGCGCACTGGCATGGGTCACGCTACCTTGCTGACATGTTGTCACGCCGAGATGCTGCAGTCGGGTCATGCTGTTGCGCTCACTTGCTTGCAGACTCCAGAGCGGGTTCCGGAGAAGGTTTGCTAGTTCTTGCTTGTAGTGGCGCTTTTGCTTGTGGACTGAAAAGGTTGACACTTCTGAAGACAGCAGCTTCTGGCAAAGATGCGACACTTGTTGCTGAACTTGCAATGGTGCCATTGCCTGGTAGGCGGATTTTGCTGCCCGGATTTTGCTGCCCAGCTGTTGGGGTTCATGTGAGCTTCTTTGACAGCTTGTTGTCTCAGTGATTTTTTGCGTGTTTTGCTCAGTGTTGGCCTTACTTCTTCAGGACGCCTCGGTGGAGCAGAGATTTATTGAACCTGCGGAAGATCCAGGTGGAAAGTGCAAAGAAGTGTTTGCATTGACCGCGCTGAGAAAATTAAATGCACAATAGGAACTGTACAAGTCTTCGCAGCCTCAAAGGAAACTTTAGCAAAGATGAGGAAGTATGCTGAGGCAGAAAAAACCAAGGCCGGGTGTTTTTTTGTTTGTTCCAACAAAGCCCGCCCCTTCGCTTGGCCACAGCGTGGTGGCACAGCAGGCCCAGGCAGACAAACTCGAAGCGAAAGAACACAACCAGTGGAAGGAGATTTTGCGCAAACTGAGCAAACCCATTGTTTTGGAAAAACGCACGTAGTTTTGGCCTGTTGCGTTGTTTTAAGGACGTGCCACCGAACCTGTTCCGTGGTTGGTAGTTCGATTGGGCAAACATTTTTGACGGAACAATTGGGAAGGACAATGATTCGTCCGAGGAGAAACGAGAAGCTAGGATTGCTGTCATGGAAGAGCAGCCTTCTTCTCAGTGCAAAGCGCGTTTCAAATCTTCTAGGTGTAGGTACTCGAGGTGCTTCAGTGTACTTCAGGGCATTTCATTTTTGACCGCAGGTTTTTACACAAGCAACAGCTGGAAATGGGAGGTCTTTTGAAGCGTCTCAAGTTTGGGGCTTGGAGTTCAAACAGTGCTTTGAGACCCTGCTTCAATGCAGTGCTCTTTGCATGTTCTCTTGAGGGCCTCTCGAGAAGAATTGCGCCGGTCCCGCAAAATGGAGATGGAACGCTTGCTACAACGACGCTTGAGCCAAAGAAAAGCCAAGAAAACATTGGAGACATAGTGAAGATGTTGAGTTGTTCGCAAATGGTCTGGTGGCAGCTGAATGGGCCAGTGAAGTGTGCGTATGGCTAAACGCGAGCTAGCCTGTGTCTCGTTGGAAGCTGAACGTAGAAGACGAGACAAAACAGGACAAAATAGAAACAAGAAGCTACTAGGAGCAAGTGCATCGCTACTAGTAACAAATGCCTTACTAGTAGTAAGGTTTGCTATTAGGAACAAGTGCTCTAAGGTATTAGAACGTCGGACCGGTCGCATCGTGGCGGGCACGGACCCGAAGGTCGTTCACTCCGCTGCGGCTCGATGGCGCTCGCGGTGAAGCGCGCACACGCACGGCGCACGCACAGAAACACGTCAGTTGTGTTCACACAGTGTTTTTTTGGCACCGATCTGTGAGATCCTCTATTTGTTCTCTGTTTTGTTCATATTCTGATGGTGTGATATCCGTGTGCAACTTGGAAGGTCTTAAACTGAACTACCTTTGTATGTCACCAATGTAGAATAATTTTGGCTGAGGATATCAGAATTTGAAAATGCAGATGGAGAATCAGCAGCGTATTATCCAGCAGCGTGTCGAGAGGCTCCACAGTTGTCTATTCAAGTGATTTCATGAATATTTGTGTCCTTTTGTGTCAGGTATCCGATCACAGCACCTATGGCAAACACCTCACGCCCATCAAGTGGCCCGTGGATTCCTTGAGAATCATTTTGAATTCGGCAAGCGGGTCTTTCTTCTCGCGCCCAGGTGACGTGCGCAGGTGACACCACCGGTAAGGCCTAAACTCGGTGCCCGAATTAAGGTTTCACCTCCCGCAAAAGAAAGACGTTTCCGAAGCAAAGCAGTGACTGTCCAAGCTCCGAACTGCAATCACTGAAGCGCCGTCTAACAAGTGGTCAATTCTGTTGGATTGAGAAGTTCTAGTGTCAAACATGTTCATGGCTTGATCTGGCTTGATTCTTGGCCCAAGTCCTTCAAGATTCAAAAATTTTGGTGGCAAATGATTGTTCAAACTGAGAGCTTGTCAATCACGAAAGCACGTTACGTTACTTCAGTCAAATTCACTTGGTTCGACTCGGTCCAACTCAGTCGTTCTTCTTTCGGCTTCTTTTGACTCGGTCCAACATGGAGGACTACCGCGAGGCCGGCCCTGTGGCGTCAGGGTGTTCTCTTCTCACCTCAAATATAGGGGTATCTTTACCGAGAGCTATGGGGTTTCTTACTTCAAGTATAGCAAGAGGTGCCCGTGTGCACTTTGGAGCCTGGATGCTGCTGCTGCCGCCAGATGTTCATTGGCAGTATGCGCTTTTGGGGGCTGGGGAAGTCTAGCGCTTTGAGCCCGTGCGCTGGTGCAGCTGCAGAGGTGCCGCTCCAGGTTGCTGCTGCGAGGTGTCTGTGTCCATGTGCGCTGTGGAGCTTGGGTGCCGGTGCCGGTGGCCGCTGCACCTTACCGCTGCAGGGTGCACCAACATGCCGCTTCGGAGATGGTCAACTTCAAACAAGTCATTCTGGGCCATAGAGAACCAGACAGACAAAACATCTAGAATGCAATTTTCACGAAAGTAGCAAGAGTTGTTGGGGTTCTTTGATAGGAATAAGTGCCTGTGTGTTGATGTTGCTGGAGGCCACTGCGGGGTGCCGCTACCAGATGTGTATGGCTTGTGTGTGCACCAGCCAGATGTGCATGATAACGTGGGCTGCGTTGTTGCCACTGCAGGGTGCCGCTCCAAGGTCTATGGCCGTGTGCACTTTGGAGCTTGGGCGTTGGTTCCGTTGCAGAATGCCGGTGCCAAATGTGCACGCCGTTTGCGCTTTGTGTGCCGTTGCAAGGTCCAGGTGTTCGTGCCAGATTCCGATGTCCATGGCAGTGTGCGCGGTGGGGGCTTTGTTGGTGCTGCTGCAAGGTGCCGCTGCAAGGCCTCCTTGTCTCCAATGGTTGTTCTCAATGCTGGGCTGAGATTTTACTTGGTTTCCCTTTTCCGCTTTCATTCCCAAGCAGGTTTTACTGTGGGTTCAAGTGGCCACAGTTGTTCTAGCCCACTTGCTCTTAATTCTAGCTTGGCTCCTTCCCCTTTGTCCACGCTCCCGGGCCGGGCCAACAGGCCATGTGCCTCGTTTGATCCGAGGCCCAAAGGGCCAAATGGAAAGCGCAGAAAGAAGTGACTGAGGCGGGAGACGACAAGTTGGAAGAGGGAATGCAAACAAAGGAGCGCCTAGTAGCATCTTGGCTCCTAGTAGCGATGCCAGGAGCCCCTAGTAGCATCTTTGCTCAGTAGCTTCTTGCTCCTAGTAGTAAGGCCAGGAGCTCCTAGTAGCTTCTTGCTCCTAGTAGCGATGCCAGGAGCCCCTAGTAGCATCTTTTCTCAGTAGCTTCTTGCTCCTAGTAGTAAGGCCAGGAGCCCCTAGTAGCGTCTTTCTTGCTCCTACTACTACTAAGACAGAAACACTAGTAGCATATTGGCTCCTAGTGTAGCGATGCCAGGAGCGTCTAGTAGCTTCTTGCTCCTAGTAGTAAGGCCAGGAGCCCCTAGTAGCATCTTTGCTCGGTAGCTTCTTGCTCCCAGTAGTAAGGCCAGGAGCCCCTAGTAGCGTCCTTGGTTCTAGTAGGGGCCCCTAGTATCTTCTTGCTCCTAGTAGGAAAGCCAGGAGCAGTAGCTTCTTCTTGCTCCTAGTAGGAAGGCCAGGAGCCCCTAGTAGCTTCTTGCTCCTGGTAGCAAGGCCAGGAGCCCCTAATTCCTAGTAGCGATGCCAGGAGGCCTTAGCTTCTGTGAGCGACGCGAACGGTCTTGGCCGCGTCGACGGCCAAACGCGCGCGCGCTGCTGTTTATCGCTCACGAGTTCAGTCCGAGCGGTCGTTCACGCGGTGAAACAGGGCTAAGCGGCTACCTGCAGCTACCTACCGAGCTCAACCTCAAACCATTCCGGCTTGAGCCAAAAGTGAATCACATGCAACAGTGACACTAGAGGGCTACGCATGCTTCTAACCACATTCGCCCCTCAGCCGGAGAGACTCACAGTGGCTGCGGCTGCTTAAGCTGCGTAGCTCGCGGTGACGGTCCGAAGCGTGACACGCCGCCCGCAGGGCTAGCCAGACTGGTCAGTCCAGGGAAGCCGAACTCTGCTTCCTGCCGCCTTCGGCTTTTGATCCTGCGAGGACTGGAAGTCGGCTTCATCAAACACCTGACTCTCTTCCCAGTCCTCTTCGAAGTGCTCCTTCTAGGCTTGGAACACTTGGTGATCCACATCAGCGGTGATCACCACTGTTTGATTCCCTGTTGGCCTTGGAGCGTGTAGTCCAATTACAGCTCCCGACCAAAAAGTGTCCAACCTTCTCATGTTCCACTCGAGTGTTGGATCCCTCGCAAGCCCAACCCTGCCGCCGTTGACCTATTGTCCTCTGCGTAGGCTTTGCTCAGGGCATCATCATGCTCTGAAGTTGCATCTTCGTACGAGACTTGTGTGTCACCCCAGCGTCCACCAGGATTCGCACGAACCCCTGATGACCCTTGATCATCTCGACCACATCTGGTTGGTCGAAACTGTACGCCGTAACTCGTACGGACGCTTTTGGGTTCTGCCGCAAAAGCTCAACAGCTCGAACCTGCGCGTCCTTGTTTCGGACATACTCGATCTCCAGGTTCTGGATGGCGGGAGCGTTTTCCAACGCCAGCTGGACATTCAAACCAGCGGTTGCTTCCTTCGCCGCCCGGTCGTCTAGTTTCAACTGCGCCTGACGAGTCATTTTGCTGACTCCCCCAAGACAAACAGTTTCCGACCCTTGCAAACCCGGAGGTGACGACGGCTTAGACCACAGTTCTCTGGCCTTCTTCGCGACCCCTTCAAAACATACCCTCTTTTCCCGGGTCGCATTTTCCGCGCCCCCCAACGCCAGCAATGAGGGCCGTGCCTTTTTCAGCCGCGGAGCCTCTGGCGAACCTGACTTCTTTCTCAGGATACACCTTCGAGCTTCCCCTACGGCCGAGTCAATGTGGCCGCAAATCGCACTGGCGAGGTACGCCCTACAAGCGCATGCCCCTTGGCCATCCTCTCCGATCCAGACTCGGTGGACACCTCTTCCTCCAGTGACGGCTGACTTCGAATTCTTCGAAGGCTTGAGCTCCAAGAGACGGGCTGGTAGGGAGTTGCCATCATGGCTCGAGACTTGACCAAGATACGACAATTCTTCTTGTCACTTGACCAAGACTTCCTCGACTCGGCTATTGTCCTCTGGCATAGGATGTGAGCGCGTCAACAATTTCCTCTGCTCCCTGCTCAGTCCGTGAGACCAGCGGAACTGCAGCCAAGCATTTTTATCCAGCCAGGGCCGTTCCCATTCAGCGCATGCTGAAGGCGGTTACGGCTCTTTTTACTCAGCCATGAACGGATGGTCCGGGGGGTCCGCCGTTCCTTTTGCCGAACCAGTCGGACGACGGAGCGTGTTGAAAGCTTAAGGACCGCGGCAAGCCTTCCGAAACGGAAAGACCCGCCCGCGAGACCCTGCAGCTTCGGAGAACATCGGCGAGGACCTTTAGCTCGTTTGGACTGGTTGGTATGCGTCCTCCCGCACCGGCGCACCTGTGCGCTTCCGATGTTTTGTTCACCCTCTCTTGCGCCTTCTCCTTTCTGGGACGCCCTCTAGGCTGGCAGCCACCCTTCTCTAAGCACCTGCCACGGCGACAGCCACACGCCTGAGTTCTCTTCCTTCTGGCCTTAGTTCTGAAAGACTCGAGCCGTATAGTCATACTGCGGCTTACTCCCTTCCTGGACTGGCTCAGAACCGGAGGAGTTGATTGGCAGCATACGCTTCCGCGCCTGCCTTCATCAAGCCTTCCAGACGTTCTCTTCGGGCGGCATCCGCGGCGGTGCCTCCCTGAGAGTGATCTGCCAACATGGCAGCCTGCGACGATGTCTGGAACCCATGCCTGATTTCCGCTGCAGTGGCGTTGGCCAAGGCCTGCTCCACGGCCCTAACCCTACCTAGGACACCTTGCGACGTGACTCCAAGCGCGCGCCAAGCGAGCGCCTTCTGGCGCCTCCTCAACTACTTCAAGACGAGGCGCACTGGATGCGCTAGCCGCGGCGTCGCTCTCGAACCGAGAAACAACGCCCGCAGGCTTTCCCACCTTCACTGCTCACCGACCGGCAGAACTTCGAGAAGCGCCATCCTTTCGTGGCGATGTCGCCTGGCATGACGCGCCCTTCAGCTGAGGTTCCCGCTGCAGTGCTTGGAGCTGCGGCACGCCCCTCAGTTGTCGCCTCCTCCTGGCGCTCTGTCAGCTAGCGCGGCGCGCTCCCTTTCATGGCGGGCCTCCAACTTAAACATCTCATCTATATACGCCGGTCGCTGACCAGGTGGTCGTCATCGATAGGACATTTGCCCTTGATTCCCGTCCGACCCATGCACAGCCGGCAACATCCATCCTTCTGCCACAACTCCTCTGGCAGATGGATCCACCAGAAGTTTGGCAGCTCACCTTCACACCCTTCCGGGATTCGAGCCCGAGACCTTCTCGCCGGCGCAGCGGAATGTTCTCGTTCCGGCGCCTCCTTGGTCTCTTCTTGAGCCTTCTCAATCGCCGTTCCAAGGTCTGGAACACCGGAATCGATTGTTGCAAACACCGGCGTCGTCTGCTCCGCTGAAGACCCTTCCTTTTTGACGTGAGATGGCGAGGAGGGAGCGCCGATCACCTTGACCTTGAAAGAACTCTCAAGAACTCTTGAGGGCGCATTGGAGGTGAGCAAAACTCCGTCGGGACCATACCGCACTGTCGCCTCGCTGTCCCAGAGCGCTTGGATCGTGGTGTGGATCACCGCCGCGCTGTCGGCTCTGAACCCCACAACGGGATTGCCCCTATAGACGGTTTCCTTCCGACCGTCCGGTGGACAGTGAGCCGCGCGCTTTGCGAACCGCCGCCGGCCAGCAACCCAAAGTTGCAGATCCCCGACACCCTTTCCAAATCGGTGCCGTGCCACATATCCGAAAATGGCGACAGCTGGCGCTCGCGAAGGCTGCGCCTCCGCTTCCTCGTAGACAGCGCTAGCGTCCGCTATCCCGAGGCCCGCGCTATGCCCGCAGAAGGCTCGGACGCGTGTCCGGTCCTAGGCTCGCTCAGCTGCAAGCGCGGCTTCACGTTCCCGGCATCTGCTTTCACCACCTGAATCAACCAGGATTCAGGAACGCCAAAGAGCTGCGAGGACCGCGACAAACAGTCCGAACAGGCAGTACCCCATCTCCTGCAAGTCTTCGGCGGTTCTTCCGGTCCTTAGATCCTTTGCGTTTTCCTTTTCCGCCCATTTCTCCTAGCTCCGCGCCGCGGCTTTGAAGACAGGAACCAACGGCCGCATGCTGGTCAACCAAGACCGACCAACTCAGACGCTCGAGAGTCAAGAAGCGCTCGGTGCCCAACCCGCCCCGCGTCCCTCCCGCGAGCCGAGCCGAAACGGCTGCCGACAAACCTGGTGGAGTGATTATGGTCCGAAACGACTGGGTTGTGCTTCCCCTTCTTTTCTCCTAAGCCCTTAGGGTTAATCCTTGGCGCTTCCAGCGCCGTGGACGTGGGCTGGCCTACCTCTACTGGTGCTCTACGGCAGGCTTCCTTAATCTCAGCATCCGCTTCTTCATCTGTCAGAAAGCGGCCGTCAACGACCCGTCCTGTCCTCACGCTCAGATCATCAACGTAGGCGATCCATGCCTTTGTGTACTTCATTTTCCTGCCTCTGCCAGGTCCATATGCTCTGTCCCACCACAAAGCAGAAATCATCAGGACCCCCAGTAGCTTCTAGCTTCTTGCTCCTAGTCCTAGTAGTGATGCCAGGCTCCTACAGTGAGGGCCCCCCTAGTTAGAGAAGTTATAAGTATCTTAAGTATGGTTTTAACTTGGATAAGTATGGTTTTAACTTTGTTAACTTGGTTAAGTTCCTTAAGTTCTATCCGAAAGTTAGCCTACTTGTAGCTTAGTTATAAGAGTTGTGGAAGTTATGTCCAAAAATAGCTATCGAACTTACGGAAGTTATGTCCAAAACGTCTGAAACTCAAAACTTTTTCTCAAGCTGCAAAAATTTGATGCCCAGGACCTAATTCTAGTGTTTTTAATATAAAATCTTTGTTTTTTAAGTTGGACGCCGATGTATCAATTTTTTTGAGTCTGCGCATCTGTTTTTGCGAAATTGTTTTCACCTCTGTTTTTGTTTGTTTGGCGGCATTCCGCCTTGTTGTGGTTTGTTGGTTTGGCGGCATTCCGCCTGGTTGTGTTTTGTCTTGTTGGCGGTTGTCCGGTGGTATCCGGGTGGTATCCGCTGGTATCCGGGTGGTATCCGGGTGGTATCCGCTGGTCTCCGGGTGGTATTCCGCTTTGTTGGCGGCATTCCGCCTTGTTGTGGTTTGTTGGTTTGGCGGCATTCCGCCTTGTTGTCTTTTGTTTGTTTGGCGGCCCATATACACATTTTGAAAGAGTCCTGTCTGGCATCAAAAAACAAGAAAAATTTTAAAAATCTGGCTATAACCATTTTTTCTATACATTTCATATGGTTTTAGACAAAAACCTAGGTTTTACAAGTTTCTTTGCATACGCATACCTGATTCGCAATTTTTAACCATTTCTGACGCTCAAACTAGTTACGGAAGTTACTGAAGTTAATAACTTCCGTAACTTTAGTTATAACTTAGTTATAAGTTAACTTCTATAAGTCCCGTATCTCAAGTTATAAGTCCCGTAACTATGGGGGCCCCTCACTGATATAGTAGTAAGGCCAGGCGCCCCTAGTAGCGTCCTTGCTCCTAGTAGCGATGGGATCAAAACGGGAGGGTGCAAGGACGGCCGGCCACCGAAAAGAAATCGCAATGTTTGTCGTCGCCTCGTGAGAAGTTTCTGCGTTTGGCACCGCTTGGACCAGGAGGTCCTTTCACCACATCAACTCTGGTCGGGAGAGCCACTCAAAGAGTTCGCTCGAGCCGAAGTGAGCTGCGTATCAAGCCAAGCCGAACAAATTGAAGTATCAAGTTCGCGCGAATGACAAGCGTCCTTATTTTCCCGAATGCGTAGCGAAGGTTTCTCGTTTAACTCTGGGGGTCTGGGGGTGGAGCCTGGTTTGCGATGCGTTGTTCCTACAAGAGTGTCCCGTAAGAGGCTCCCACAAGAGTGTCCCATAAGAGTGACCCACAAGAGTGTCCCACAAGAGTGTCCTACAAGAGTGTCCCGTAAGAGTGTCCCATAAGAGTGTCCCACAAGAGTGTCCTACAAGAGTGTCATTTGGACATATGTAGCTTTTCGAACGGGTTTGCATTCGGGTTCGTGGGCTCCATCTTTTTATTTTGAACAAGTGATTATGACCAAAGCATGCTGAGGTCGCAGAGACAAGAGATCAAAGTGAGACAACCCCGAACAAACCTCCCAAGAAACTGAGAATACAGAGTAAATCAAAAAGAGAACGACTCCAAGTCGGATCGTGAGTGCAAACATGCAAGCATGGTCTTTTGCCCTCGTGTCCAGATCGCATCCAACATTAAAAGTGTTTTGTGTTTTCGAGCTCTTCCAGATCCGTTGTTTTGTTTCTTTTCCCCCGCCATAGCCACTTTCACACCACCTCTGGTAGCGTGACGCGTGCGCCTTGAGCGCTGTGCGCTCCCCTTCTGCTTCTCAGCAAGTAGAATGCCTTGAACGATGCGCAGGGTTGCAACCGGAATGCAAGTCCAGTTGGCAATTCTTTGGGGACAGACCTCAGCAAGCCTTCAGGTGACACGCGACGCCCCATGGATGTAGACCGTGTGGAGAGAGGCAAAGACAAGGGCAAGCAAAAGGAAAAGAAAAGGGTAAAGGCAAAGAGAAGGGTGGATGGCTTGGAGACAAAGGCAAAGGGAACAGTGACCTGCAATCAAAGATGCCCTGAAGATGGCTTCAGTGATAGCAGGTCTCCCAGCAAGATTGAGCTCGTGTGCCAGAGCTGAGTGAAGGAGGATTGCACTTCACAGTGAAGCAGGTGATGCTGCTTGGTAAAAGGACGCAGGAAAGCAAGGAGGCAAGAAGGAGGTAAGAAAGGTAAGACAAATGATTAGGTTACAAAGGTAAGAGTTCTTGGTCCAAGGATAGAGGCTAGAAGGGCAATGGAGGAAAGTCGCCAGGCAAACAAGGTGGCAAGAAAGGGAAGGGTCTAACCCGCAAGGATATAATCGTGCACATTCCATAAATTCATTCATTTGCACATTCCAATGAGATGATTCATTTCACTGTGTTCTTCATTTCCAATGGTGGCGACGTTCCATGTGTGGCCAGGATTCTGAACAAAGGGAGGGAGCGCCGGGGGCACCAGGGGCAAGTCAAAGCTCAGAGGCCGCAAACGAAGACTCTGAGAGTCGCGACAAAGAATTCGTGACAAAGGTCGAAAGTCGAAGAGAGTCGCACTGACAAACTGACAATTGCTTCTAGTCGCATGTTTAGAGGTGCTGAACATGTTTTTGTCTCAGGTGGTGTCTTCGAACATGCAGCTCAGTTGGAATTGGAAAACGGGCAAGTGCAAAAACTTCCTCAACCCTAAGGAGTGTGCAGAATGCCGTGCAGAATGCCGTGCAGAATGCCCGCAGGGTTCACATTCTTCCTGTGCATCCTTGCTCTTGTGAGCAGGATCAGCCCGGTCCTTAGTGTTGAAAGTGTTTTGTGTCACAATTTCGCAATCTAGGCGTCTCATTGTATTGGCACCAGTTCTGCGGAAGATGCGCGCAGATCAGGTGCATTAAGTTGGAATGTATGGAAGCAGACATTTCATGTTTGTTGTGAATTGTGCAGACAGTGTGATTTTCAATAACTAGCAAACCAACATCGTAACATATCGTAACAGTGCAACTTTGAGACTGCTTATGTTTGTCCTATTAACTCAAAAGGTCCTGAACCTGTTAGTGCGTTTAGTTTTGGCTGCATTTGCGTCAGGCATTTCAGAATTCTCACATCTTAAATTCCACACTTTTAGACGCTGGCAATGCGTCATGTCTCGGATTCGCGAGCTTGCTCGATCGCAGGCTCACACATTCGAAGCTTCAATTCATATCTTTTCGGAGTTCCTTTTTGAGAATCTGAACAATTTTTCATATTCTTCAATGCTCCTTCAGAAAAACACATATAATTTGTGAGAGTGACCGTGGTTCCATGTCACGACACCTTTTCCCTGCGTGTGTCGGCCTGAGTTTCGAGTACCGCCATCTGACGATGGCTCAAGCTTCGCGCCTTGGAAAAGGCTTCGCTTTGCCGCTCCAGTTTCAAACTGGCAGCGGAGCCGGTCGATCCGGCTTTGCTACTCGTTTTCTAGCCCGGTGCGCTCCATGGCTTCATTGAAGAGCTTGAAGATCGCACTATGGAAGTCAGCTTCTACACCGAAGATCTTCAAGAACGCCATGAGGAGATGGATCTTGGCCTTCTGGATGGCATCTCTGATGACAGAGATCTTGCACCTGCTCGAGACCTACGGCCAGATCATCTCAACCAAGGTGAACTTGAACGTCAAGAGCTGATGGAAGAGAAGCCGCCTGACACTGGAGGCCCTGAGATGAGCCGAGAGCATGACCGCCGCATCAAGTGGCTGAAGATTCCAAGATCTACAAGGCTTGCTTTGAGAAGGCTTCACAACATGACCGGCCACAGCCCTGTGTCTGGGATGCTTCAACTTCTTCGCACAGCTTGCGCCTCACCTGGAGTGACTGAAGCCTGCAAGCATTTTGCCTGCGAATCGTGCAGAAAGACTGTCAAGGTGGACAGACCCAACGCCACCAAGCTGCCGACCAAACCGGTCTTCAACAACGAGGTGAGCGTTGATTGCCTTGAACTTCGAGATAGCGGAGCCAATCGGCGCACCATCCTCTCAGCCGTTGACATGGGACACTATATCACCAGGCATGGTGGGTCGCTGGAGGAGGAGTCCCAAAGTCATCGGTGTGTGCTGAAGCTTTCCTCAATGGCTGGATCATGACGTTTGGAGCACCACAATCCGTGGTTTGTGACCGTGGCATGCGCAACCAAGGTCGTATGAAAGATCTGCTCCGGATCTATGCCATCAACCTCCGCTACATTGGAGTGGAAGCACCACACCAACTGGGTCGAGGCGAACGCCATGGTGGATTGTTCAAAGAGCTCATCTACGCCAGCGTGGAAGAACGCCAGGTCATTGGCGTGCAACAAGTGAAGATGCTGGTCACTGAAACCTGCATGGTGAAGAACATGAAGCTCAACCACCTTGGGTTCACGCCCTACCAGTGGGTCCTGGGCAAACTGCCCATTGATGCAACGTCGCTCATCGAAGAAGAAGCTGATGGTCGATTGCTTGGAGTACATGAAGAGATTCAAGAGCCAGAGGATGAGTTTGGTTTGAGGCTGCAAATCCGTCAAGGAGCCAAGATGGCCTACACCAAGGTCGGCAGCAGCCGCCGAGCGCGATCTGCAAGCCGTCCCAATCCGAGGTCCATATCAACCAGGAGATCTTGTTTGCTTCCACCGCCGAGGACGATGGCATGGATGGACCTGGGAGGATCATCGGAAGAGATGGCAGGGCTGCAGTTTGGATAGTCCATGGAGGAGTTCCATTGGTGGCACCTGAGAATGCCCTTCGACCTGCTTCAAGCTCAGAGATCTATGCAAAGCAGATCCTGGAACTCCGACCTTCAAGAAAGCGCATGCGAGAAGTCATGCGTGACAACCCGACCGAGGAGCACATCCCGTTTGCTGAAGACTACCAACTTCGCAGTTGGCCTGATGATGGAGAAGCTCAACCCAACTTCGTGGAGATTCCACAAGTGTCAGGGCCTTCGCCTGTTGATGCAGAAGAGTATGAGCCTTCACTACCTCCTGAAGCTGAAGCACCAGCGGGAGAACCTGAAGCACCCGTTCCGGGACTTCCTCAAGTACAAGAACAAATGGAAGAAGTGATGGAGCAAGTCCCAGCTCCACAAAGTGAAGAGCCTGAGGGGGAGATCATCCCAGACACCCCCACGCAACAGCCAGTGCAACCGGCTGAAACTCAGCTTCAACAAGCTATGAGAAGATCGCTCGATCAACTTGATGGGCATCCTGCACCACCACCTGGCTTGGGAGCTCGACAAAGATCAAGGTCACCACTTCGAGAGGCTCGCAATGTCCGCATCCCTGAGGACAATGCGATGATGAGCTGAAGCGAAGCGTTTCCACTGCTTCGTTGCAAAGCGCTTCCAGACCAAGAACCGCAAGAAAGCTGGAGCTGGCAGAGAGCTGAACTATGACAAGGAGACGGCCGAAGTCCAAGAGAAGCTGAATGGCGCCCGCCTCAAAGAGTGGGGCAACTGGAAACAGTTCTCGGCCGTGGACGTGATCCCACCTGACAATGTCGAGCAGTTCAAGGAGGAGAACCCTGACGCTGAGATTTTGCAAAGCCGATGGGCGGACACCAACAAGGCTGAAGAAGGCGAGCCCGACATCTTGAAGTCGAGGCTTGTGGTCAGAGGCGACTTGGAGGAGAACCAAGGAGTCCGCACCGACTCTCCAACCGCGACCCAGCTGTTCCTGAACTTGATCATTTGCTGGGCGGCAAGCACTGGATCCAAGCTCCGATCTGGTGACATCAGTGCTGCATTCCTCCAGGGTGCACGCATTACAAGATTGTTGGCCATCATGCCACCGAAGGGTGGAATCCCTGACCCTGAGGTGAAGCCAGGAAGCCTCCTGGTCGCACGCAAGAGCGTGTATGGCACCCGAGACGGTCCAAGAGCATTTTGGAAGGCACTTCATGATGTTTTGGTTGGAAAAGGCCTTCTACCAGTCCCTCTCGAGACCGCCGCCTACTACCTTCCTGGTGAGAAAGGCAAGATCTGCTGCCTATTGGCCTGTCACGTGGACGACCTCCTATGGGCTGGCAACGACAAGACGCAGGAGATCATGCTGTCAGTCCAACAGGACTTCAAGTTTGGAGTTGTTGAAAATGATGAGGTGAAGTACTGCGGCCGGATCATCAGCCAATCCAAAGATGGCCTCAAAGTCACCTGCCCGAACATCCTTGACCGCACCAAGGCCATCTACATTGTTTATGCGCACCGCAAGCAGTTGGCTGAGCCTGCCCGTGTCTCTGAGATCTCACAGTCGTCGGGTCTTTGAGCTGGCTTGGAAGAATCTGCAAGCCAGACCTTTGCTTCCGCATCAACCAACTTCAAGCTGTACAACAGCGTGCACAAGTTCGCCACCTCATCGAGGCGAACAAGTTGCTGAGCTATGCCATGCAGGACCGTGAGAAAGGCATCTACTACCCCAAGAATGCCATGGTCCTTGAGAATGCCATCATCACCAGTGTGACTGATGCCTCCTTCGGCCAGAGTGTGACCGCCGATGTCAAAGGAAACCCCGCCGGACATCGAAGTCAGACTGGGCGCATCCTGCTGCTGACCAGCGAGGAGTTCGAGAGCACTGGAACTGGTGTGGCACACCCACTAGAGTGGCGCAGCGACACCATCAAAAGGGTCTGCAGGTCAACCTTGCAAGCCGAAACCATGAGCTTGCAGCTTGGAAGTGAAGAAGCTGAACACCTGCGCCATGTGCTGTTCACCGTGAAGAACCTCAGCGCTGGAATGGCCAAGCAGGACCACACCCTGGCAATGGATGCAACGAAGTGCCTGTGGCTCACTGACTGCCGCAGCCTGGCGGATCAGAGCTCAAGTGGAGGTGAAGTCACTGACAAAGGACTCGCCATCGACCTCACGAGTCTCCGTCAGGATGTGTGGCGAGCTGCCAGCGAGACCGCCGGGAATCCAGCTTACTCAGAGAAGCTGCCCAACACCGGAACAACGGTGGTGAAATGGATCGCCACGAAGAGCATGGTGGCAGACGCCCTCACGAAACCGATGAGGACGGAGCAGCTGGATGAGCTCACGAGCCGCGGCACCTTGCAGGTCCTCTACACTCAGTAAAAAGTTTACGGGTGTGAGAGTGACCGTGGTTCCATGTCACGACACCTTTTCCCTGCGTGTGTCGGCCTGAGTTTCGAGTACCGCCATCTGACGATGGCTCAAGCTTCGCGCCTTGGAAAAGGCTTCGCTTTGCCGCTCCAGTTTCAAAAATTCATCCGGCCAAACTTAGATGTTGCGACGCCGTCAACGCGAAGATGGGGGAGTGACAGGTGAAACAAAACTCGTCACAAAATGATAAAGCATTTCTTTTTTGGACAATGACTTTACGGCAACGCCCTGTGTCGAAGTGGTGATTCACAGCAAGTGCCGACAGCTTTTGTGCAAGTCGGAGACCGCATGTCCAATTTTCATGTCGGGCGCTTGCAGAAATCTATAAGAGCTCAAATAAGACATGAACAGCAATGAACAGCTGAAGTTCAAAAGGCAGATCAGGCATTGTGCCGGTCTCAGCTGTCCCCTCAAAATACAGAAACAGAGCCCGTGTATGTCTACTTGCGCCGCTTTCGATTCGCGACAGTCGCAGGTGCCGATCAAGACGGGCATGTTTCTAAGACCTCTTGGGTATGAATTCGTGGTTGCCCGCTGCCCTAGCTGCCCTAGCTGCCCAAAATGCTTGTGCCTCGTTTGTTTTTGAGGTGAAGTGCGAGCCGGATGAAGCTGTGCTGGTGGTGACCTGAGGTAGCTAGTAGAAGCAAGCGGTAGTTAGTAGCTACAGGTTGCTACTATTGCTACTACATACGCAGCATAGCTCACGCTTCTTCAAGGACGCTCCCCCCCGCCACCTTTAGGGTCCATACCAGTAGCTTAAGCAAGGTACTAGCTACCTCTAGCTACTACCTCCCTCTTCTCGGCCTACCCCCTCTCTTTTTAACACACATATATATGTATACATATATGGAAGTTATTTTCTTTCCAATCGCCAGAACGCGCCGTGGCAAGGCGATGAACACCGACTATTTCATTGAGGGAAACCCCTTGAAGCGTTTTGAGAAGGTGAGAGAAACGAAAAAAATGCGAGATACGCGGAGATGGGCTGATAGAAACAATGTTTGCTACTAGGAACAAGTGCCTTACTACTAGTAACAATGTTTGCTATTAGCTTATTGTTACTAGTAGCGTGGCACCTGTTACTACTAGTAAGGCACTTGTTACTACTAGCGATGCACTTATTGCGCTTTTTCGACTTTCCAGGTTCAATTTATTTGCCTATGGGATTTTGAGCGTGCCCGTACTGATCAGGACACAGCCGAACGCATATGACTTCGCAACCGGAGCGAAATTTCATCGCAGGATGCAACAACGTTGTTCAGAGAGTACATCAATCCCTATTTCAGAGACAAGAACACTCCACAGGCCAACAAGAGCGCGAAGACGACTGAATCGTCTTGAGAGTGGTGTTTTGTGCGTCCAGGCAACGAGCATTTTAACCTTGAATGAGCATTTGCAAATCAACAACATGGAGTTCCAGGCGCTTGAGAGTCCGAAAGAAGGTGGAAAGAAGCAGTTTGTTGCTCAGGTGATGGCAGCAGAACCAGTTCCACCTGAAATCGGCTTGGTGGATCTCAATACCGTGGCTGCTTGGATCGCCATTGAACAACTTGTTCCAAATCGAAAAAAAGAGAGACAAGGGATGGCTCTTCCGAGTGATCCCTGACCTGAGGTCTTTGTAGACTGGGACAGCACGCCAGGTCCTTGATGATCTTGGCTTTTGGCCCGTTTTCTCATTCCTTCCCTTTTCTTGAAGCTCCATAGCTTTTTCTGCTGTCAAGTTGTGGGAAAGCGAGAGCTATGGGGTTTCTTACTTCAAGTATAGCAAGAGGTGCCTGTGTGCACTTTGGAGCCTGGATGCTGCTGCTGCCGCCAGATGTTCATTGGCAGTATGCGCTTTTGGGGGCTGGGGAAGTCTAGCGCTTTGAGCACGTGCGCTGGTGCAGCTGCAGAGGTGCCGCTCCAGGTTGCTGCTGCGAGATGTCTGTGTCCATGTGCGCTGTGGAGCTTGGGCGCCGGTGCCGGTGGCCGCTGCAGGGTGCAGTGGGTGCTGGTGTCATGCTGCCCCGGACTTGGCCGTCAAACTCAGGCCAGAGTTTTCCAAGATCCACTTTGTGCCCTTCCAAGACACGCTACCGGCGGCGTCTGACTCTCAATGTTTTGCTGCTACTCTTGAACCTTTCCCTTTGTTATTTTTCAGGTATGAGTACGACATTTTCAATGACTACTTGAAACCCTACCTCACAAGGAGACAAACATTTTGAGATGAAAGCACTATTCTGGAGCTCCTTTGGGTTTTCTTTTTCTCAGCTTGTTTGCTGTCTTTCTCAATCTCATTGTAACTGTACTGTCTATCTTTTGTTTGAGATGCACTTGAAACCTTTTTCTTTCAGGATCCCACTTTGTTGTTGTACCTTTCGATGAACTGTAACTGCTCGCAACGGTGCTTGAAACCTCTCAGTGTGAGACCCCCACACCCAAAAAGCTTGGTTTGGTGCGGCAAATTCGACTGTCCACTCGTGGTACATGCGTCACCATTTGTCAAGGCTCAAAGGATGCTCAGCTCCAGAAAGACACTACTTGTCTGTGCCACATGGACGTGTTCGCTGTAGTCACTGTAGTCACTCCTTCAACCTCCCCTGGTACCAGAGTTAGTCTTGCTTTAGCTGATTGGCCCCCTCTCCGCGGGCTCAACTCCCCTCTTAAGTGTTTTAGATTTGGGAGCATAGTTCTGATAGCATCCGTTGGACGATGTTTCACATTGTGCCGCGCATCTCCCTCCGTTTTCAGGCCGGATTTGATGCAGCTGAGGGACGGAAGAAAGACGACACCGAAACCGGGAACAGGAAGGGCAAATTGAATCTGTTTCGAGCTGTCCAGCTCTCTTCTCAAGGCGGTGCCCGTTTGTGTCGGGGCTTTGGGCGCAAAAGGCCCACAAGTAGCGCCGAAATCTCTAGAGTCTAGACCCTCGTGAGAAGCTTCCAGAGGGAAGGTGTGGCTCGCCGCTACACAAGTCCTCTATCGCCGCCTCCCCCCCAAAAAAGAAACAAACTATATATATATATATCTATACACATATCAAGAAAGCCAGCCGATAGGCTAGGCTGAAGTTTTGGGGAGCGAACGAAGTGAGTAAAGGGGGTGTGGGGGGGTGGGTGCCACAGGGCCAATTTCGGAGAGCTGACCCAGAGCCTGGTGGGGGAGAGACAAAAGTAAGAGGTGGCCAGGAGGTAGTGAACATGCGTGGTTTTTGAGGTGTTGTGATGCAAGTGATGTAATTGACGGCGAGTAGTGCATCATTAGCATCATGCAGGGCTTAGGAGGCAATGTAAAGTGTCTTCTATCAGGGGTGGGAGTTTATGTCGAGGATAGGAAAGAGGTGAGAACAGGATGGAACAGTGGTTGGAACTCCTCTAGGAAGGGAGAGGTGGGTGTGGTGGCGACTAGGACACAGTGTGATCTGTGAGGGCCGGAGGAGGGGGACCAGAATGTTGTGGGGAAGGTGGAAGGCAGACATAGCGGAGGAGGATGGGTCGGAAAAGAGGGCTTGCAAGAAATCTTGGAGTTGCTTGGGGCTGCGACGCCGGCAGCCATGCGCAATAGGGCGCCCCATACTTAAGAGCAGGAGAGAGAACAGATTGCAGTAGCGGGCAAGCTTTGCATTGCTGGGGCCGCCCTTTTTTACTGGTGGAGAGGCCTAGTTGCTGGATTCAAATGGATGAGGCAGGCACAGCGGAGGACGAATATTTTCTACCAAGGGTGGGAGTTATGTCGATGCAAAAGGGCATTGTATATATAGGGCGCGAGTGCATGTAATGATGCCATCTGTTGAGGGCAGGAGAGAGAACAGATTGCAGCGGGCAAGCGTTGCATTGCTAGGGGGTGCCCTTTTTTAATGGTCAGCCCTTATGGGGTGGGAGTTCATGTGGATGAGGCAGGCACAGCGGATGCGGAAGGTTTTGAGTTGCTTGGGGGTGCCCCTTTTTGCCGGTGGAGGGTAGCGAACCTTCCGTGGGGACTTCCTGTCACAGCTTCACCACTTCCTGCTACTCTTGGTGCACCCTTCCGCTGCGCCATCTTCATGTCTTCTTCCAGAGGCTGGCCTTACTACTAGGAACAAGAAACTATTAGGGGCTCCTGGCATCGCTACTAGGAGCAAGGACGCGAATTTGGGAAGTTGGAAAATAGGACTCGACAGAGTTCTCAAAAGAGCGGGATTCGAGTTCCCAACCGAACTGGTTGGGACGAAGAGCACCGGTTGCACCCAATTTTGCGCATCCGTGACAGCTGGCAGCTAGCACCAAAACAAGACGTGCTTGATCTGGTTGCTGCCAGCTTCCTCAAAGCGTGCCCTGAAGCTTATTTTTGTTCGTTTGAATCGGTGATCTTCTCTTTGGCGTTTGTGCTATTTCTGTGTCAGCTTCTTGCAGGAACAAACTGCAGACCTTTGAAGTGAACAAACATTTCACTTTCCAGGAGAAGTGAACATCCACAGTTTTCAATTTGTTCATGCTTGTTTCTTGTCTTTTTGGTGCTTCTATCCGTCATTCAGGGGGTGCAGTTCAAAGTGGTTTGCTGCGAACCTCGTGGCCCTGCCCGGATCGGTTGGCGCCTTCGGGAAACGGTATTTGCTCCCAAAGCGACAAAAGCGGTGAGGACAAAAACGAGAGAAACGACAATCTTGAGTCATCTCGTGTTTCAGGCAAGAATACAACGATCTTCTGCGAAGGAGCCTCGCCCTCAACCTTTGCAACGCGACATGGATGTTAACGGCCATGGTAGACAATTGGAAAGACGTTGCCCAGAAAAACGTGGTTCGTGTTGTTGGGCGCAAAAACCGAGGTTCGTGTTGCAGAATGCGTTTCAACAAATGCGTTTGGTCTTCACTTTTTCGGACGAAATCACTTCCCTTCCAAGCATGTGTTCTCTTTTTTCGTTTTCTGATCGCTTCTTGGCGCATTGCCTTCTCACTCCACTCCGTGGCGCCGTTGAGGTGCTTCACCCGTCTTTGCGGAACCTGCTCCCTCCAGAGATGTGCCTCGATGGGAGGTCCATTTCAGTACATGAATGGTGCATGGAGCACCGTAGAGTGGAACGTGGCTAAGGGGGTGTCAGACGCAATTCTTGGCAGCTCCCGGTTCAAATTCACTGGAACTTGGAACAGTTCGCCAGCTTTGCGACAGTTCACGAGCTTGGCAGTTCGGCGCTTCGTAAACCCTGGGAGATCAGGAGGCTAGAATCTAGAAGTATCTAGAAGTCATGGTGGGGTACAGTAACTGGCTTGTGGACATGATCGTGTATAGTGTTGATGTTCTGAGGATTGAGCAGTTGCAAGCTCTTCCACCGGGCCTTCAGATGATGTTGCTCAACACTGAGGCAGTAGCCGAATGGCTTCCGTGAGATCGTTGCGTGTGAGCACACCTGTGCAGGCCATCGCAGGAGGATACGAGGACCGATTGATGGAGGCCGGTTGAAACGAAAGATGTGAGGTGGATGACGATGACAAGAAGCTACTACATAGCTAGTGTGCCCCGCTCGAACTCGAACTCGAACTCGAACTGAAACAGTTATACAGTATTGATGAATATTAACCTTGAAAGGATATATATGGAAGGAACCGAACTCGAACTCGATCTCGAACTCGAACTGGAACTGTTAGAAGTCAACCCAGTGGACGAATAGAAAGAGTCGAACTCCAAAATCGCTGTCGTCGATTCGAACTCGAACTCGAACTCGAACTGGTCCCCCCCCCGGTGTCAAAATTGTCGTCGATTCGAAATTCGATCTCGAACTCGAACTGCGTTTCCCCCCCTCCGGGCGTCAAAATTGTCGTCGATTGGAATTCGAACTCAAACTCGAACTAGTTCCCCCCCCCGGAGTGAAAAAATTATCGTCGATTCGAAGTCGAATTCGAACTAATGCTGCGTTGTAATGGCTCCTTCCTATTCTAAATTTCACCTTCAAATGGCCCATAACAGGAATGCTACAGTGTAATATAATGGCTCCTTCCGGCTGTAAATTTTACCCTCGGGTGGCCCACAAAAGGCATGCTACGTTGCAATGGCTTCTTCCTTTTCTAAATTTTACCCACGAAAGGAATGCTACGTTGCAATGGCTTTTTCCTACTCTAAACTGTATCTGTGGCCCACAAAAGGCATGCCACGTTGCAATAGGCTTCTTCCTATTCTAAATTTTACCCTCGGATGGCCCACAAAAGGGATGCTACGTTGTGGTCAGATGGTTGGTTGCTGCTGGCGCCGCTGGCAGGTGGCTGTTGGTTGGTTGGTTAGTAGGTTTTTTTTTT